GAGATGAAAACTGGGATGAAGGCAACTTTCTATAATATGCATTTTGAGAATTTTGATGGGTAAATAATGTGAATGTATTATCTATTTTAAAAATTATAAATTTAAAACACAAAATCACATAAAAGGAGACTATTCTATAGACTACAGTGGCAAAGGAGTGAGCCTTCCATGAGTCAGCCTGGGCAGGGGAGACAAGACCAAAAAATTAAAGGAGGAAAGGGCTAGCGCAGAGGAAGGAAGCCAAGTGCTTTGGCATTGACATTGCTCTGCTTGCTCAGAAAAGCCTCTGCTTATAGGAGTCTGGCATTTTTCTTCTCAGTGTCCTTTGGTTATTGGTTGAATCATTTTCCAAACTCAGGCATGCTCGTGTGATTTGAGAAATCTTGACTTTTTTTGAAAATGTAAACATTTTTACACATTTCCTCCAAAGAACAAGGTCACCCCCTGAAGCAATGACATCTTTTGAAGTGGCTGCACTTCTTGGAATCCCTTTCCTTTCCCCACCAACTCTGATGTTCTGGAAAAGAATGGTATGTATTTGTTTTAGAGATTATTTTTTGAGAATCTTATGATACCCCTTTGGGATAACTAGCAACACTCTGGGGTGTTGCAAAACCTGATTTAGGAGTGATCGTCTTGATCAGCAAGAAGCCACAGCCAAATGAGGCCTGCACCACTCTGGCAGGACTCTGGAGGGGGAAGGGAGAGGGAGAGGAGGGGCCAGAGGTTTCCTCTTCATCACTACCCCCCTGTGGGCTTCCAGGGCTCTGAAGGCCTGTTTGGGGTACTTCAAGAGAGCTCATGACAAACCCTGCTCATGGGTGAACTGCTGGGTCCCTGGGAGATCCAGCTGGTTCTCTTTTCCTCAGGGTTAATTTTAGGCTCTCACTTTGCCTTCAGTCTTTCTAACTCCCAACCCCTGGCTCAGCCTCCCAGAGGGATTGCTTAGACCAGTGACTATACAGTGCTCTTTTGAAATATAGAGCTGTTCAAAGAACATGCTAGGGCATAGCCCTGGGGGCATTTTCCATGATATATTTTTTTTTTCTCCTTTTGTCCCATTGTTTCAGGGGAGGAAACAAAATAGCTCGAGGATCAGGTCCTGATAGGCCTGAATAAAGGTATCATACATCCCTGCCCCCCCAACTTGGATTTTATTTTCCAACCTCTCTTCCCCACACCCAACTTGAGAGGAACTGGTTTAAAGCCTGGGAGACTGGGCTGGAAGAACCAGGCCTTGTAAGTCTGAATGAGTGAGCAGGAAAGGGGCCTCTGGGTTTCTTCAGGTGAGGCAAACTTGCTGGGAGTGAATAAGAGACCTCCCAGGCATTAGAATACCAGGCCTGACCTACTGCACTGGAGAATGCACATGAGAATTCCTAAATCCAACATCTTCTAATTTCCAAAAGCTCATGAATAAAGTCTTCACGGTAGTGAAGAAGAATTTACCATTGGTGGCTGGTGGAAGATTTGTGGACAGTTGAGAGTGATGGGTGGACAAGGCTTAACCTCAAACCCATTCATCTTTTATTTGGCAGTGTTGAGGACTGAACTCAGTGCCTCAGAATACTAAGTTCCCACTCTGTCCCTGAGCTACACCACCACATCCTATTCATCCTATTATTTTACTCTGTTATTTATTGATTGATTGAATTTTTTGGTACCAGGGATTGAACCCAGGGGCACTTTACCACTGAGCTACATCCCCAGCCCTGTTATTTATTTTTGTGGTACTGGGGATTGAACTCAGGGCCTTATCTTGAACATGCTAGGTAGGTGCTCTACCACTGAGCTACACCCCTGTTCACTGTTAAAATTTCATTTGTGACAGGGTCTTGCTAAGTTGCCTATGCTGGTCTGAAACATTTTTTTTTTTTTTTTCACCAGAGAGTGAACCCAGGGGTGCTTAACCACTGAGCAACACCCACTGCCGCCCCCCCCTTTAAAATTTATTTTGTAGTTTTGGTGGACCTTTATTTTATTCATTTATTTATATGTGATGCTAGGAATCAAACCCAGTGCCTCACACATGCTAGGCAAATGCTCTACCACTAAGCCACCATCCCAGTCCTCCCCTGCCCTTTTTATTATTTTTTTTTATTTTGAGACAGGGTCTCTATAAGTTGCTTAGGGTCTCACTAAGTTGCTGAGGCTGACTTTGAACTCACAATCCTTCTGCCTCAGCCTCTCAAGCTGCTGAGATAACAGACTTGTACCACTGCCTGATCTGGCCTGGCACTTTTGTGATCCTCCTACATCAGCCTCCCCAGTAGCTGGAATTATAATGTGCACCACTCCTACTGGCTCTGTTTATCCCTTTTTCCTCAGGCTTACTAGGCAACTGCATTGCCACTGAGCTACATCTCTAGCCCCATCTATTTTAACATGTCATCGTGACAGAGAATTTTAAGAGATGAAATCTATCTAGAAAATTTCTAGGTGGAAAGGTATGTGAAGGGGGCAGTATAGGTAAGGGAAGATTGAGGAATCAAAACTCTTCAGCATCCCAAACTATATAATACCAAATCCAAATGAAAATGGGCAAGCAATGAAAGACTCCTGAAATAGCAATTTCCTCAGTAGCTGGGGGAAAAAGAAATACAAATAAAAACCCAGAAAACTGGAAGGGAAGAGAAGGCAAGTGAAAACAGAAAGGGAAAGTGATAAATCTCATCATGGCTTGAGGTCTTGGGAGAGGACAGGAGGTACGGGCTGCCTTCTATTACTTAATTTAAAATACCTTAGGCAGGATGTGGTGGTGCACACCTATCATTCAGCAATTCAGGAGACTGAGGCAGGAGGCTCATAAGTTGGACATCAGTCTGAAACTCAGTGACATCTTGTCTCAGAAATAATAAACAAATAAACAGCTAGGGCTGGGGATGTATGTCAGTGGTAGAGTGCCCCTGGATTAAATTCCCAGTACCAAAACAGTAAATAAATTTTGAAAATAAAATAAAATACCTTAGGTGGGCTGAGGATATAGCTCAGTGGCTGAGCATTAGCCTGCATGCAGGAAGCCCTGGGTTCCATCCCCAAGCACCACAAAATGATACAAACACTTTAGTGGAGACACCCAAGTAGATGACAGGCTACTCTGGATATTCTGCTTGCCTTGGGAAAGTCATCTTTTCCTCTTTTCCTCTGACTCCTTAAAGGTTGGAGGTGGGAGGGTTCTTTTTTACTTTCTCCCAGTGTTGCTCCTGGCCTATGGCAAGAATGGACGCCCTGTGGCAGGTCTTCCC